TTTTTTTTTTTTTTTTTTTGCTTTTTATTGTCGTTTTCGTTGTCGCTGATTTTTTTTCTTCTGATCGCTTGGTTTATTTTTGACTTTGAAATTTTGATGGAAGGTTTGTTCGACTTGTTTAGGTTCATTTTTTTATTTTTTTCTATCTTCTATATCGTTTATACTTTAATTGGTTGCAGTGGCTATGCGTAATGGTATGGCGGTTGCTGATGTCCTTGCTGTTCTTACAGTTGTTGCTGTTAGTGTTACTGCTTCTGCTTCTGCTGCTGTTACTGTAATTGTTACTCTGTTGCTGCTGCTGCTGTTTGGTGGTTATATTGTTGATTGTTTATTTTTTCTTTTGTCTGTTTCTTCTTGGACAAGGAGGTGTTGACTATTTGTAAATCTTGTTAAGAAATTTTCATCCTGAGGTTCAGATGCATTGTTCTTAGTGAACAATGTGAAATGCGTTGATTTTTTGTTGTTGTTGTTGTTGTTGCTGCTGGTGCTGCTACTGCTGCTATTGCTGCTTTTGCTGATGTTAGTGCTGCTGCTGCTGCTGCTTTTCAATGTGTGCCTATTTCATTTGCATGTTAAAAACTTGGTCGTTTATTTCAGATGTTTATTTGGTTATTTCTACTTCATTTTTTCTCTATCATTTTTGTTTGAGTCTTCTTCCTTTTGCTCTCACATTTTTTTTATTAAATTTTAATGAGTAGTTTTGGTACGAACAGGGTACAAGTAAAAATATAGTCATAAATACATAATTATTAATATCAATAGGTAAACGTATATAAATATAATTTTTATTTGTTTGTTTTCTGGTGTTCTGGTATACTTTTAGGTGAAGATGATTGTTTAAGAAGTGAAAAATAACTTCTTGCTAAATGTTGTTTTTGATTTCATGTATTTTCTATTTGATGCTCTCATTTTTTTTTCCTCTATTCTTCTTATCGCTACTTTAATTGATTAATAGTTTTTTTTTTCTCAAAGACCGCAGCGAAACTTTTTTTGCTTGCAAGAAGCTTTTATTACTCTAAAAAGCTGTTTCACAAGTAGTTGAGAAGCAATAATTTTGCAGTTTATGGACGAATTTTTAGATTGTTCTCGTCATAAATTGAGTTAAAATTAGTTCTCATTGACTTGGCGCAGTGTAGTTCTATGGTGGTAGTTGTTTTTTTTTTTTCGTATTAAAAAAAGAGACAAAAACGAATTTAGCTTCTGATCTATGCTTTTTTTTCTTTTTGTTTTTTTAAAAGTCAATATAATTAAATGCCTCTCTAATTATGCGATAACATTTGTGTTCTGCTGAATGCTTTTTTTAAAAACTTAATTTTTTTCCTTTTTTTTTATATGGTGAAATTGTTATCGCCTAATTGTAATGTATTGTGGTCATCCCAGCCGTCTGACTCATAGCGATTTACAGGATTCACCATGTCCGATTTGCTCAGCGGAATTGCCAATTTTACGAAATCAGTAACTGAATCCCTCAACACGTATGAGATAAGGAAACTTAGTGACAAAGTGTTAGTAAATTTCATTCATTTATTAACTGAACTTTCACAGGGTTTTTGTAAAATTTTCATTAACATTATAAACTTATTCAGACAGGGGATGGTAATGAACTATACGGAAGCGGAAGCAAAAGTTCGGGAAGCGACTAATGAGGATCCTTGGGGACCGACGGGACCGCAAATGGCAGAAATAGCTCATATGACATACCAGTATGAAGCGTTTCCAGAAATTATGGCGATGTTATGGAAAAGGATGCTGCAAGAGAACAAAAATGCGTGGAGAAGGGTTTATAAAGTGATTTTTGGTTCTGATACTTTTATATTCGAATCATCGCAATTTGTTTCTGACAATTAAGACTTGAAGTTTGGACTTTTATGTTGTTGTTTGTTTTAGTCACTAACTCTTTTACATTATCTCTTGAAAAATGGTAGCGAACGGGTAGTTGGCAGTGCGAGAGATCATCTTTTCGAAATTCGTGCTCTAGATAGCTACAAGTATATTGATGATCGTGGCAAAGACCAGGGGCTCAACGGTTTTATTTTTTTAACCTTTAACTGATCTTTTAAAACCCTCTTATCAACTTTCATTCCCGTTGAAATCCACTGTATTTATTTGAAAGTTTTTAGTTCGTCATCGTGCAAAGTTGTTGGTTGACCTTATCCAAGATGATGAGCAGTTGAGAATAGAGCGGAAAAAGGCAAAAAGTGAGGGGAAGGAGAAGTATCAAGGTTTTTCTAAAGAAGACATGCGAATCCGAGGCGGAGCGATTAGCTTCAGTATCATTCTTTCATACTTTCGAACTGCTCTTTACAGTCATTCCGGAGCTCGCAGTTTCTTCCATTTTTTAAGGTGGTAGCAGAATGAGTAACTTTGACAGTTGGGACAGAAATTCATCAAGCAGGGACGAACGGAGAAATTCGTTTAGCGATGAAAGGTTCTTTCTTTCTCCTCTTTTTTTCTTTTTTAATAGAAATTTTTGATATTTTACTCCACTAATTGACAAAGTCAATTTTTTTTTTAGGGAGAACTACCAAGACCGCGAGGTTAATTCATTCCAATTTCCGGATGAAGGGATCCGTAATGCACGTGAGAGCCCAGAACTTGGTATTCGAGAAGTAAGCGTTTGGTTTGAAACGTACACTTTTTGTTTTAAGTCCAGTTTTTTGCAACACGTTTTTTTAACAGTAGAGGTTCCCCTGCTGGCTGTTTTTATTTAGTTAAAGCGGATTGACTGTTAGAAGTCGCTCAATTTTTTATTAATTTTTTTTGAAATTCAGTTTTTTGTGGTTTTTAGAAAACGCCTGAATTGTCAGGTGAAGACGAAGATGAATTTGGTGATTTTGCTCAGGCTCGAACAGTTGTTCCCAGAAAAACAGAACCACATGAACGGGTTCCTCCAATACCCCCACCGTCTTCTGCTACTTCTCTAAAAATTTCACTTCCTTCTCAAAATAAAACTACTACCTCAAAAAGTAGGTATACGGGGGAGCTTTTTTTTGTGTTTTTTTTTTCTTTTGTTCTCGAACAACGTAACAACACTTTTTCTGGTCAAGCGTTTTTTCGGAAGTGAGTATACTTTTACTAATTTTTTTTAAAATGCAAACGCTCTCCGTTTATAACTTCAATGAGCTTTAGATTCAAAGTATTAGTTTTTAGAAGAGGCAAATCTTTTCGACCTCAGTTCTGATCCTTTCGGAAGTGAACCAAAAGCAGCTGACTTAAAAAGTAAAAACGACGTTCCCGCTTCTCTTTCTGACGATTTGTTTTCTCTCAACTTCACCGGAGCTTCCGGGAACAACATGTCATCCGATCTTCTTGGCTCTGTGACTACTGGAACGAAGTAAGTTCATGTGTTCTTGATGGTGAAAAGGCTTTTTTTATGTATTATGTTTTGGAACTACTTTCATAACTTTTGTTCAAGTAGTGGTTTTTTTCTTTTTTAGGAGTTTAAGGTTGAGCATTTTCTGGAAGAACGGAAATTTTTTCCCAAGACCTTTCATTATCTCTCTATTACACTTTTATTTAGCGCTAGAGGCAGTGAAGATTTGATTTCTGGAAGTCCTGCCTTGTCGCCTCGTGTTTCACAAACACCTTTAATGCCTTCAGCTCTCCAGCAGAGCCCTGTTCCTAACACACCGTCACTTGCACCAAGCTACTTAGCAAGTTCAACGTCAAGTTTATCTAAGGTTTGCTGCATAATGGACTTTTCAACCCTTCTCGTTGAATGAGGAAAAAAGTTTAATTTGTTCGGTATTCTGCTGAAAAAGTATATTAAAAATAAACTTGATTTAGATCGAAAACGGGAATTCTTTAGCTGATAATTCTAACGTAGCCTTCTCGTCGACGACATCTCAAGTTGCTCCTACAGGAACTTCCCAGAAAGCGGCTGGAAAAGAACCAGAATTTGTAACTTTAGATTATACTTTTTCATAATCATTTGTGATTTTACGTTTGAGTTTTTCATCTTTTTGAGTCTTCATAATTTATCTTACTGTGAAACTAATTGATATAAAGTTAAGAGTTTTTGAATTTTGGAGTCTTTGACAATTAAAGTATGTTTATTATTTAGAAGCTGCCGTCTACCTGGTCTGACGCTTCATCGAAAGTAAATATTAGTTTAGACAATCTTGGTATGATGCGTAGTCCAGTTAAGCAGGGAATACCGATGAGCCAAATGGTATCGAGCCAGTCAGCACATGCCTCTTTAAATCGTAGGACATTTTATTTCCTGCTTTGTCATTTTGGAAGATCTATTTTAGTTTCATTTTGACTAATGAAGTGTTTGTACCTGATAAGTTTTGTAAAATACTTTTTCTTCAGCAGGGGTTGGTCATTTTAGGACAGGGTACTCCAGGAGTGGTAGCAACGCAAAGTTTTCAAGGCTTTGGTGCACCTCAAAATTTTGCTATGCCGGCACAGGCGTTTCCAGTCTCTTCAAACAATTTTCAGCAAACCCAGCAACAGAAATCTGCTGGTGGTGGAGGAGATCTTTCAGATCTGTTTATGTAATTTCCACTACTAACAATGGAAGTGGTTTAGTCGCATCTAAAGTATAAATTTCTTTTAAAAAAGTTAACAAATTTTTTAAAATCGAACTAAATAATTCAACTACGCAAAGTTAAATTGAAAGAAGGTTTAAGTTATTTTCGATTTTTCAAAGTACATTTTCAAGATTAAGAAGATGGTGAGGTTTTATTATTGTGATTAAGAATATTTGAAGGTCTTGACAACAACGAATTATTGATCACATTCATTTGCCAAATGGTGCCTTATTTTGCTATAATTTTTTTCTTTGCCTAGTACTATCGTATTTTCTTTTCAAATTTTTCTGAAGGATTACGTGGTTGGTTTTTGAAATTTAAGCCTTTAGATTGTTTGTCGTTTTGAGTAAGCAGTGTATTATTGATACAATATTAATTTATTATCATTTAACTTATTTGAAAGCTTATTTATATATCCTTGGCAATTAAGAACCGAATTGTTCACATATCCTTTCTTTCTTTTCAGTAATTTTGGAACTATTTATTTTATTTTATTGTTTTACGCACATCTCTTTCATTTACTGTGATAAGTCTTTCTTAGACTCCTCGATTATTTTCCGTAGCTCCTTTTCTTCTTCTTCCAGCTATACTGAAAAATAATAATTCCTAAATAATTCACACTGAATTGCTCGATGAAACAATTCCAACATATTACTTTCACATTATTTTTACCAACGCATTTTTGCTAAGTTTCTTTTTAAATTGCTTCTTTTTTTTTGTTTTGTTTTTTTTCAACGGGGTTTTTGTAATTTTAAGGTTTACGTATTATTGTTATTTTTTTCTGAAAGTTTGAAGTGTGTTTTGTATGTCCAGTTGGTTGATGGAGGGGGAGATGTTGTTTTATCTATAAATAGAGTGTTGAAGGATGGAAAGAGATGTTTTTGTTAGTCATAGGTAACTAGGCGAATTCATGATGTGACCTCGAATCGCTTAGTTTTACCTAATTCTTTCCTTGTCTGATAAGGTGTGATTGTTGCTGAACTAATTGTGATTTATTCTGTTATGATGATATTTGAAGAGGAATCATAGCTGTATTGAATTGTTTATTTCACTTCATTCTTACTCTTCTGTATTGTTATTTCTGTTTTTTTTCGCTTTTTTGTAAATTGTTTTCTATGTACGTTATTTTGTGTTGTTTTTGTTTTGGTGTGATTTCGTCCATTGTTCCTAGGCTACAATAATTTGGGTTGATATTTTATCAGTGCTGTCTAACTCCAACGTTTTCTGTCTCTTCGGGGTAATTTTTGACAATTAACTTTCTTTTGCTGTTTTGTGATAGAACTCTTCATTTGTATTACTTTAATGACACTGTTAATCTGTGTCAATAGTACGGTATGTTATTGTACACTGTGCCTTTATCTATGTACCTTTTTTTTTCAATTTTATACAAAGTAATAAAAATTTTAGTTGCTGTAAAAAGCTGTTGCAGAGAATCATAAAATTTTTGTTGCCGACGAGGGTAAGGTGAACGTCTGTTTTTTAGACTAAGGTGTAGTTATTGTGACTTGTTAGTAGAGTGGTGTTTGATTTTTTAATTATGCAATTTTTTGGAGTAAATGCGTCGGGTGTGTAGAGGTGGCATTTGCGTTGGTTGCTGGTAGACAGTAATCGTTCTTAACTGATTACACTCATTCCATTAGTCATGTTTGATGGTTTTAGCCAAAGATAGAATTATTCTTCAGACTGCAATTAGCTCTAATTTGGAGCAGTTAGTTCCCTTACGTTTTTGCATTTATTGGGCTTGTCTTTTATATATTTTTAAGTTGTATTCCTGAAAATAGGTGTTAATCGCAATGTTGCTTCAACGTTAGTTTTTGAATGCTAGGGTTTTAGACAGGTTGGTTCATCAGAAAACATTCTTTAACTCAGATGTTCCAGAATTCATTGACAGTAGACAACAGTTAAAGTGGGTTTCAACCACTGAAAGCAACCCCTGACCCCGACGGGACTCGAACCCGCAATCTTCTGATTAGAAGTCAGACGCCTTGTCCATTAGGCCACGGGGCCGCGAGCGTGTGCAGCTGTCATCCGCTTTACGGCCATGATTTCCTTATTAAATAACGGCTAATATAAGCATGGATAATTTTCATAATTTTGTCCGTTTTTCTGCTCACGAAACTTGTGTGCAATCACTGGTAATCGAATTTTGAAAACTGTAAAGAGTAATATGAGACTTGCCGATGAACAAGACCATAGCTGAAAGCGAGTGAATCATATATTGGTGAATCCCAGTGATAAAAATCTATTGGCTTGGCATTTATTAAGTTGTTGAAGAACGGAAATGTATTTGCTGAAAATTTTTTTACAGCTTGACAGTGTTGATTGGCGCAGAAGCAATGATTCGTTTTTGTTACTTGTTGTAGTACTGTACCGTTTCATAACTGGTTTGTCTATGAAAAATTTTTTCTTTTTTAGTTTTTGCCTTGTTCCTTTTGCTATCTTTATTATCAGCCCTTCTCAACAATTTCAATTGGAAGATTGGTAGGGTGCAATAACACTGCAGAGCAGCATCAACAGTTATCATTAACTTCTTTATTGACGGTAAAAAGAGGATTAGCAAAGTATACAGCAAAACCAACCTTTGTTCGTATAATTTGTGTCAATTTGATTGAACAGTATTCTATTTTTATTCCTTCTTTTTTTTCCCTCCCCCCCTCTCTTTCTCTATCAAAAAGCATTGCTTCTACGGTTTCAGTGAACCAACGAAAGTTACAAATCTGAGTAGGAAAAGTAAAAATAAAATTATGCTTTCAAAGTCGTATTGGTGTAAATAGGCAAAGAAAAGAGAGGCTTATTTAACTAACAGTATGCAACGTATTTGAGGAATTAATAGGTTGTTTGCCATAAAAATGGACATTCGTCTTCAATAGGCAAAAAAATCAAACAAAACAATTTAAAAGTGCTAGAAGAATTTCCCAAATGTATTGATAACCAAAAAAATTCTTTTTTTATTTTTATTTTTGTTTTTTTCTCAGTGTTTATTTATTTTTTTTCTTGGCTGTTAAACAAATGGAAGGTAAAAGTACAAAAGCAGATAAAAAAATTGAATTCTGAATAAATGTTCCTTTGAGTGGAAAGAAAGTGTAAATTTCAATTGGATTTATAACTCATCTGGTGGTGTTTTGTTAGTTGACCTGGACAACAGCAGATTCTGTATAAGGTTTAAAGTCAGGGTGGGATGAACATAAAAATGTCAACTTTTTTTCTCCTTTCATTTATCATAGGCGTCATAACTTCGTCAGAAGCTCATCAAATTGCTACTGGTTTACCCCCCGACAAATATAGATCAAATTCAACGAACTCAAACTATCAAGAGGACAACGATGACAAGTAGCCAGTGACAGCCGACAAGAAATAAAGTTGGGATTTCTCAATACTGACAATTTTGCTATTTTTTAATCCTGTTCTATTCTTCTTATTTCTTCAAAGACTATATGAAATCAATGGGCAATCAGAAAAACAGCAACTGTGAAAGAGTGAGAGAAGATAAATACAGGTTTTAACGGCTTACCGAAGATTTTGGTTTTAACTGTACCTATAACATGTCATCTGTGAACAGCAGCTACCAACAAATAAAGGTTTGATTTTAAGTTCGATTTGAGTACTGGCAAACCTGATTTTCTGTTCATTTCGTCCTTTCAGTGTTGTAATTATTGTCTTTCTATGACAAATATAGGCAATCTTCACCACAAAAAAACTACTACTGACAATCAACGAATGTGGTCTGAGATGTTTGTTGGCGATGGTTGTTAAATAATGAAGTTAAATCACTGTCACAAATATGATACTTTTATTATTTCAGTTCCAAAAAGGAAAAAGGTGGAAATAAAAACATTTTTTGCGTTACTTTTTGTTTATTTCATTATTCTTATTTTTCAGGCAAATCGCTGAAATATAAACCATTAAATAATCAAGTTGATTGACAGTGTTACTGAGTTTGGGGTTTGCATCTTTGCACTGTTGCAAAACTGATTAATTTTAGAGCTAAAAACTGTTCACCAGGCATTTGACTGGATATCGGTTTATTCAACTTCCTGAAATAAAAGAAACTATCAGTAGTTTTTATACAGGAAGCAAGAGTAATTGTCAAAACTGTTTTCAACTTTCTTCATACTGTATGGTAGGTATTTAACGATAATCAAATGTCAACAACTGTAAAGGGACGCTCAGCTTTGAAATACTAACAAAACAAATAATTGAAAATTAGTAAACCTCATCTTCATATTCTTCTTCGTCCTCGTTTTCCCCATCCTAAAAGAAACCAGTTAGCCACCAGCAGTCAGCAACAATAAGAAATAACAATCTATGTAAGCAAATATACTGTGAATAATCTACTAAGGTTAGCATTAAGTAATCAAATATAACAACAGCTTACATTTTCATCGTCCAATTTCAATATCACTTTTTCGTATACTGTAGGCGGAGGTGGCATATTTGGAAAACAAGGAAACGCTTTTTTCTAAATAAAATTAAGGATGATTAAAGTTTTTTAAATTATATATTGCTATATTACTTTTTTCCCATTTAGACTGGTGGCTTTTCATTGAAATTTTACACAACAGTTGAACAGCTTAAGATTGGTTTTAAAAAGCAGCGATTTATCAACTCAGTAAAATTGAAAGTAAATGTAGAAGTAAACAGTGAGAAGGAAGGAGGTAGAAGGTAACTCAGAGTCGACAACAAAATTCCTCCTTAAAAAAGAAAGTTAGGCCAAAGGCTCTAGGAAATACTGCCACAGATATGCAGTAGTTAAGTAACCAAATACACCAACATTTTCGAACACTGCCCGTCGCTCGGCAAAGTTCCTTCTATCAGATTGCCGGTCGTATTTGCTGATAATCGAGACTTTTGGCTGAAAAAAGGCATAAAAGTATGTTCTTTACTATCAACAAGTGGTTACAACATTGTGCTGCTGTAAGACTGCTCAAGAACGTTTCATCAGGAACAAGGATGACATCAAGGCCTGAGTAAACTGGACGAAAGAAAAATAGAGAAAAACTGACAGGATATCTTGATGAAGCGGAGTCTGCTGGATCAATGCCCTTTTTCAAAGCGTTGTTACGAGCTACTTGCCGTTGTCGTTCGTTCAATTCGCGTAACTAAACATTCTACTCGTGAACTCATCGGAATGTTGCTTTTTAATTGTAGGGATGACAAGGGACAACAGATGCGTGGTAAGAAGTTGTTTATGGATATTGTGTTAAGTACAGATAGAACTAAGCAGTTACTATACTGAAACAAAACTTACGTCGTACTCTTGACGTTCCTGTCTTTTTTCTAAATCGTATTTATCGGCTTCTAAACGGCAAATTTTCTGGTGAAGAACACGAATTTTATCTTTAAGCGATGTGATATCGTTCGCTGGAATATCAATAGTCCGTGCGACAGTCGATAAATAGTTTCGTTTGGCCTCCTCTTGTTGTTCTTTTGTCATACCCATCTCTTGCTTTGCCTTAAGATTTTTCTAATCGTTATCTGCCGTGCCTTTCTCTCACGCAGCAAGCACTGTTAGTTGATGCGAAGTCAGTGATAACAAGTTTAACACATCAATCAAATGGTTAACGAAGAATCACCTGGACAATATTTCCAAACTTGTCAGCACGATCAGTCTTTGTTGGGATCACAAAATTGCGACCTCCATTATGGCCGTTCATTATCACACTAAATGTAGCTTGAGATAAAAGAGCACGTTTTTTTTTCTCCTCTTCCTTCTTCTTTCTATCAGCTTCAATTCGGGCTTTACGTTCCTCCTAAACGTTTGTTGGGTTAGTCTAGAAAGCTGCCAAGTTGATAACTTATTATGATGACGATGAACAGCATATCATTATAACACTTTTATGACTATTTTAAGCACCTCCTCCTGCTTTCGTCGTTTTTCCTCCTGTTCCTGTCGCAGGGCAAATTCTCTTTCTTCACGTTCGCGTTCTAAACGGCGTCTTTCTTGCTTTTCCTTTAGCGCTCTCAATTCTTCTTCCTCCTTCTCCCGTTCCACGCGGCGTTGTTCCTCGTAGTTCAGAAGTTTTTCTTCTTGATCTTTTTCTTGTCTTTTACGGGCAGCCTAAATACTTTGTTACTTAGTCATTGATGATACAGTACAAGGGGGCAGTTTTTGTGTGTTAGCTACTTCCTGTTTCATCTCTAAAAATTTCTTGGTTTTTTTAATACTTTTTTAGGACTCTATCAGTTCGTTCATTACTTACCAACATCGCTTTTTCAGCTTCAGTCAAATTCTCCTTCTTGTTTGCCAGTTGTGAACTTCTTAACCTGAATGAAAAAAATCATTGTTTGCCGTTTGTAGACTTAGGGCTTCCTGACATAATGATTAATACAAGTAAATTGTCTGACACAAACTTTCCTGCTAGTTTATACTCTTGTTTTGCAAAAGTGCTATGTTACTTTCACCCGCATTATTCCTAAACTCACTGAATTGACTGTGATACTAAAGGCATCATTTGTGACAACACTCTTCAAACAGGCTTTGAAAACCTAATTTCCAAATCGTAATATTCACTTAATTTGTTAGAGATTTGCGCTTATTATTATTATTTTTTTGCTCTTCTTCTAAGCCGTTAGGAGCTCTGCACCAAAAAACTGGATACACTTTTATTTAAAGTACAGTTAATCGAGAGAAGAGCTACAAACTCCATTGGAACAAGGACACAGTTTAGAATTTTTGTAGCCACTACTCCGTGTTTATTTTAAAATTAAAGTCTAGCTGTTGGGCAGCCGTATATGCGCGGATACATCTCACCAACCAATTGTACGATGAGATTTTTGTCCACTGTGTTTGTGTTTAACAGAGGATGCCTTTGACAGATCTGGTTTTTTCGGCGTCCCAAGATATTTGAACGTACACGCCAGCCTCGAGTATCCAAGTGCTTTTTAGAAAGCTAGTCAAAAATTTAAGTGCCGCTAAGAGTCAAAACAAAACTTCAAGTTTTTTAAATGGAGTTTATACTCCTTTGAAGTTTTATTTTCACAAAACTGCTGTTTTTTGATCTCATCCAACTAATAACAAAAATTTGATCAAATGGTATAGTCAATATAGTATATAGTAACGAGAGTTTTTCGTTGTTGGTCTAACACTTCAGTTGTAACTATGTAAGTCAGTTACACGAAACATTTTCAACATGCGTAAAGAGACATGCGTAATAAGACTTGACTAAATCAATACTTGGGTAGACTATGCAGTTTTCGACTGTCAATTCGTTTAGTTTAAGTGAACAATTTCTTAACCATTAATATCAATAGTGATCTTTACTTTGTCTCATCTTCTTCGTCCGATTCCTCCGCTTGGCCATAATCATTAGCTTCTTCTTCATCTTCAATTTCTTCGGTTTCATTTTCGGTACTGAAAAAACCAGTTTTACTTATATTCAAATAGAGTAAGTCATTTAATATGAATATAAAATTAACGTATAATATATCTTTTTTTGTATACATCAATAAAACTATACCGTTTCAGATCATCTGTTTTAGATGGAAACATTGACACTGTTTTGACTGTTGAATTTTTTTGTATTTTCTTCTTTGCAGTTTTACACAAATTTATACTCAAAATTTCATGTACAATAGGCGTTCTAGAATTTGAAGAATTTTCTTTAATTTTATTTTGATGGGGAGAATTTTGTATTGTTAAAGCGGAAGAAGATGGTGTTGTTGTTGCTACTGTTTTTTTAACAGCTGTAGGTTTAGGAAATATGGTTTTCTTCAACGTGCTCTTTTTGTCTTTATCTTTTTCGTTGTTACGGTATTCTTTCACCGACTTCTTCAGGTCGACTGCAACTTTTTTCCTCAGAGCGGTGCGCGTAATAACAGTTGAGTGGGAAGATGCCGTTTCAGTAGCATTACTGTGTGTTTTTGTTTGGGTTTCTGAAGAAGGAATACCGCGCTCTGTGGTCAAAAACGAGCTTTTTCGATTTTTCACTCCAACGGGATATTTTTTAGTCTCTTCATTAGTAGTGTATCGGTTCGAAGTAGCTTCCACTTTGGTCGTGATGTCAAATTTTTGATTTGCCTGAACGGCTGATGCTTCTCCCGTTGGCGTCACGACTCGCCGACGGGAGCGATACGAGTTTTTTGGTTTATTGGCTGCTGGTCCATGGTTTATTTCATTCTTTTTCCTCGATTCATTTTTGTTTTCAAGTTTTTTTGTGTTGGTGTTAGTCTTGGTAACTGATTGTATAGAGTGATCCAATTTTTGATCTTTAGTTTTCGGTGCTTTATTCCTAGACACATTAGTGTTCAGTACCCTAATCTGATAGTCACGAACTGGTGAACTATACCTTTGATCTCTGATCATATAGACAGCTAAGCTGGAAGCTAGAATCGTTCGGTTGAAGGGTACACGCTTTAGGTTGCCTCGTGCTGTCTGAATTTCGTTATCCATTGCTGGTTCTTTTTCCTTAGCCTTCCTGATTACAGGATTTAACATTTTCATAAAATTTTCCGGGATTTGTATAGGATTTATTACTTCCTGTCGTTTAACATGAGCAGGAACAATTCTGCGGAGTTTTGGCGGCTTCTGATTCTCACTTGGCGCTTTCCTTCCCATGGCAAAGATGATATCTGATACTACATGCGCAACCCGTTTTTTTGTGTACAACACAGTTGTAGTTTGTGAAAAGGTTGGAGCTCTTTCTGTCAGCCGTAGATGAATGCGAACAGATTTCTCCACCGCCTTCTGCCGTTCAATCAATGACTGGGCCACTTGATAAAAGCTTACGTGTTGAATGGAGATTTCTGCTGAACTACGGCCATATAAATTTTTTTTTCGAAAATAACGTGCAAGGGTTAAACGCTGATTCATTTTTTTTTCCTCAGTTTTCTGTGCAGTTTTTTTTGAAGTCGCTGGTTCCGGTTCACGACTATCATCTACCTGTAATTGGTGCTTGGGGGTAGCTGGTTTCTTTTTTACATTTACTTTTTTAGGCGCATTTTTACTTTTCACTAACTTCTTTTCCTCCTTCTCCTGATTAAGAGCAACCTTTTCTGGCATCGGAGTGACAGTTGGTTTATTGGCCAAGGTCAGTGTCTCTGGCAGTGGCTTCCTGGCTGGAAGTGTGGCAGTGAAGGCAACAAGTATATGTATGGTCCATAAACGAACCATTAGAACATATTCGTTCTGTGGTGATTTCGACAAACTTCTTTCGCACTGTTCAGCCTCTTCAAAAGAAGGCATTTTGAGCTCTGTACTGGATGAGTCATCAGATTCATTGTCGAGGGATAAGCCTGAATCTGAGACGCTTGAGAGGCTGCGAACCGGGCTTGGAACAGTCTCTTCTTGAATGATTTCGATAGGCTCCCAGCGGCGTGCAATAACTGGATCTTCTTCAAACTTTAAACCACGTGATTTTAACAGCTCATCGACAATACTATGTGCACGAGATAATCGTTGGAAGAATTCTTGTTGGCTAACATATTCTAATTTAGGCTCTTCTTTAGCACGGTAATCTCTTCCATATGTTGAAGTACTGTCGTAGGAAGGCGAAGCTGAAGTTGACGGAGAGAAAGATCGCGATGAATAGTCTTTATTTTCTGTACCCGAGTACTGAGTGCTGTTTGAGCGCTTTTCTGGATAATACGAGGCATAACCAGTTCTGTTTTGATTATATGAACTGCCCTCGGAATACTTCCTTGTAATCGGCTCAACAAGTCTTGAACTTGGCTCTACACTTTTTGACCTGTTCATCGATGCTTTACTTTGAGTCGACCATTTTTGAGTGGACGTGAAACGAGAGGAGTCATCTTTACTCAACCCATCTTGGTCAAAGAAATTTTGTTTTTGCAGCAAATTGGTTCTAGTGTTCCCATTTCTAGCTGCTGGTTGGTTTAGCTTACTTGTATTACGTGAATTATATTTATCAAAATTGGAACTACTGGAACTACTTTCTACACTATAGAGATTTGTTTGCTTTGTTTGACTGTCATCTGTTCTATCTTTGTAACTTGACGTATACAAAGATTGTCGTCTAGAATTTTGGTAATCTTTGCTAAATGATGACGACGATGACGTTTTTAATGATGTCGCTGGTGCCGACGTTTTACGAAAACTGATTGTTGGCGAGTTTTGTTCCGGAGTTGAGGACCGTTTAGAGGTAGATGAAGGAGTGGCAAAAAGGGAAGCACTAGATCGATATACAGGATTTGGAAGTTTTGAATAAGTGGGAGTTTTTAATGACCCATATGACGACGTATATGTGGAGGTGCTGCT